TATTATATTTTATAATTATTTACAATTAAAAAATTTATTCATTTTGAATTTTAAGATTAAGACTAACTAATCAGATGAAAATTTTAATGAAATTCTTTTAAAGAAATTTAAAGGTGAGAATAAAATTTTATGTATTTATTAATAAGCTATTTATAGAATAATTATGATGAATATCAAAAAGCGGTCATTTTTTCGTGGAAAATTGTATTTTGCAAAAGATCTTTGATTTAATAAATGGAACTATATAAAGTTACTCTTTTATAAATTTTTCATAGTCTTAAACCTTTAATTAATTTAGTTTTGATTTTGCTGAGTTTGTATTATTAAGGTGAAAATTTTCAGATTTAGAAATGTTTATTAGAACTCTAATGAAGAAAACTAAGTCAAAAAAACATTTGGATTATATATAAATCGTAACAAAATCAATAACAAATCATTTATTGAACTTATATAGAATAATTTTAATACATTTTTCTAAGTCATGAAATATTTATTAAAATATACTAAATTTATTTCTTTAAATTTAGATAAAATTTAGATATTTTACATTTGCGATTGATGATATAAATATATTTCTAATATTATTTTAAGATGTAAATATTTTTCTTTATAGAATTATTCTAAATTTATATTTGTTCTAATGGAAATAGAAGAGTAAAATATACATTTGATAAACATAAGAAAAGATATTTATTTTATATATTGTGCACAAATTGAATCGCTTGTTAATCACACAATTAATATAAAATAAATGATTTTTAGAATAAAATTAAAAGGGTAAAATATCTTCAAAATAAAAAATAATTTGTTTGCTTAAAATATATAATTAAATTTAGTCTCGATTTGTGATCAACTTTGCTAAATTAAATATTCAAAATTATTAAATTTAAGACAATAGTTGTAAGACATATAAATGATCAAGTGTTTTTCTATTCAATTAAATTAAGAATATACTCCTTATTATAAATTAATATGTGATTTTATTTTGAAAATAAAGGATAAAAATAAATTGGTATTTAAAAAGGGCATACAGATTATGTGAAAAATATTTTTATAAGCATTTTCTGCTTTCATGATCAAAAGATAAAACAGTTTAGATATTTAAATTTCTATACTAATAATTCTTTATTATATTTTATAAAAATTAAAAATACAATCAGAAGTGAAGCGTTTTCCAAAGATTATTAATCTATTGCTCCTAGAGGTTATGATAGATAGATTGGATTTGGTGTTGAATTGTTAAATAATTACACTTTTTTACTGATGGTAAGAATGTTGAAATCAAATTCTGGAGTTCAAACGAAAAACCTTGATGAAAAATGTGACTATTGAATATGAGAGAGAAATCATGACAATTTCCATCACAACTTTTATTAATATAATTATTGCTGCTACTAATAAATACATATGTATATTTGAAATACTTAATTGACTTTTTTTAGTTNTTAATAAATGGAACTATATAAAGTTACTCTTTTATAAATTTTTCATAGTCTTAAACCTTTAATTAATTTAGTTTTGATTTTGCTGAGTTTGTATTATTAAGGTGAAAATTTTCAGATTTAGAAATGTTTATTAGAACTCTAATGAAGAAAACTAAGTCAAAAAAACATTTGGATTATATATAAATCGTAACAAAATCAATAACAAATCATTTATTGAACTTATATAGAATAATTTTAATACATTTTTCTAAGTCATGAAATATTTATTAAAATATACTAAATTTATTTCTTTAAATTTAGATAAAATTTAGATATTTTACATTTGCGATTGATGATATAAATATATTTCTAATATTATTTTAAGATGTAAATATTTTTCTTTATAGAATTATTCTAAATTTATATTTGTTCTAATGGAAATAGAAGAGTAAAATATACATTTGATAAACATAAGAAAAGATATTTATTTTATATATTGTGCACAAATTGAATCGCTTGTTAATCACACAATTAATATAAAATAAATGATTTTTAGAATAAAATTAAAAGGGTAAAATATCTTCAAAATAAAAAATAATTTGTTTGCTTAAAATATATAATTAAATTTAGTCTCGATTTGTGATCAACTTTGCTAAATTAAATATTCAAAATTATTAAATTTAAGACAATAGTTGTAAGACATATAAATGATCAAGTGTTTTTCTATTCAATTAAATTAAGAATATACTCCTTATTATAAATTAATATGTGATTTTATTTTGAAAATAAAGGATAAAAATAAATTGGTATTTAAAAAGGGCATACAGATTATGTGAAAAATATTTTTATAAGCATTTTCTGCTTTCATGATCAAAAGATAAAACAGTTTAGATATTTAAATTTCTATACTAATAATTCTTTATTATATTTTATAAAAATTAAAAATACAATCAGAAGTGAAGCGTTTTCCAAAGATTATTAATCTATTGCTCCTAGAGGTTATGATAGATAGATTGGATTTGGTGTTGAATTGTTAAATAATTACACTTTTTTACTGATGGTAAGAATGTTGAAATCAAATTCTGGAGTTCAAACGAAAAACCTTGATGAAAAATGTGACTATTGAATATGAGAGAGAAATCATGACAATTTCCATCACAACTTTTATTAATATAATTATTGCTGCTACTAATAAATACATATGTATATTTGAAATACTTAATTGACTTTTTTTAGTTTTTATTTAATTTAAATTATTTTATTATTATAATTATAACACTATAGATTCAAAACATTTGATAAATTAATTATATAATTAAGAATACGTTTTCGATTATTTTTGAACAAAAAATTACTTGCTTTTTGGCAAAAATTACAATTATGAATGAGATATTAAATTAATATAATAATATTTAATTGTAAGTTTAGATTATTAATGATTTTAGAATAAACTGGTTTTTATCATTGTATTTATTTATAAAGGCATTCCTTTGGTTTTGGATAAAGTTTCTCTAAAATAGCCTCATAGTTTTAGATTGCTAAATCTTGATTGGTATCAGTTAAGTATATCCAATATAAATGTCCATACAGTTTTCCATCTTTTTCTACAAAAATTTGAGCCTATTTTATTTTAATGTAAAATCTTTTTCCATTAAAATTTTACACTTCCATTTCAAATATTTATTAATCGTTAGAAACTGCTTCAAAAACTTGATGCCAAACCTCTAAATAATTATTGACTCTAATAGCACATGGAAGTGTTTTGGTTTCTTTCAAATATTCTTCTAACATGTCAATGGTAATACCCATTAAATGAAGAAACTTTATATTATGAGTGTATTTTAAAATAACAGACTCATTTCTTTCATGACGAAAGGTATAACATTCGTAAGGATACTTTGAAGCAAGTTACTCGACTTAAGCAATTTCAATTTATGTAGAACAAGGGATCTATGATATTTATTCATATCTTTATAAGTATTTACTTAAATTGGTATGTGCTTTTTCCATGTTTAATAATCTCAACATCTAAAAAATAGTAGAAATATCAGCTAATTCAAAGTCTCTAGCTTAAAAATTATATTCCATCTTCTATTGTTAAATTTCAATATGAGAAACAGAATACCCAATACTGAATATATTAATTCCTAATTCCCCAAGAGTATTGTCATTAAATGTTGTTAAAGCAAATTGTATATTTTGTTTAGTTCGAAAGTATTGGTTCTGATTAATATTTCTTGGTATAATAAACGAAGTCATATATTCTTTAGGCTTTGGAATTGAATTATGAAATTATTCCTTGACTTTTAAATTTTATTTCTTTTTTCTGATGTTTTTATTTAAAGGAATTAGAGCAATCTTGGTGGATGGATTATTTATTTCCACTTTAATCGAGTTCATTTTATTTATATTTAAAAATAAATGTATCTTTACAGCTCATTAAAAAAAATGCAGTGTCATATTTATTTATCTATTTTTAGAATTGAGATAAAAAATTGAGAATTCAAAAGTGTAAAGTAAAAATTTTTAGTTACATGAATACTCATTTGTTAAAAATCCCTTACAAATATGAATTAGTTTTAATTATAAATACTGAATATATTTGATAAATATAAAGAAGTATAAAAAACTTATCATAAATAAAAAGATATTATGAATGCTATGATTAATCTAACAAAAATATATCAATTCATTTTCTCTAAATGATAGCAAACTGATTCAATAATATTGTTCAATTGAGTATCTCCAGAAGCTTTGAAAATGACTGAAGCATATTTTGGTGTTCCATCAATTAATTATTTTAAATCATCCCATCTTTTTAATCTAATATAAATAATTATAATAAATACCTGAGTTACACAACATCTCTTTTTTCATTAGGAGCAATAATTAATCTTGATTTGACTTCTTTATCTGCTTCATCAAGTGAATTATATACTCTTCCAGATATAGGATCTGTTCTACGCTAAGTTAATCTTCTAAGAATAATATCATCAGCTGCATCAATAATAACAATTAATGTTGGTTAGATATTAAGTTCATTTAATGATTCTAATTATTTTTCAGTTTTAGGATAACCATCAATCACATAACCTTACAATTAACAATCAGTCTGATTAATTCTTTCTTTAATAAGAGCATTAATTATTCTGTCATCAACCAAATCTCCTTTATTCACTTTTTCAAATGCTTCCTTACCAGTGGTACCTTTTTTATTAACCAAATTTGAAATTAATTCTCTTGTAGAGATATAAACAAATCCATATCTTTAACATAAATGTTTAGCTAATGTAGATCTTCCTGATCCTGGAGGTCCTATTACAATTATTCTTCCTGCTCTTGTAGGTGCATTATTATATAATTTATATTTTAGTCGTTACTACATTATATTAATAGAATACAGCCATATCTTCTAATTCATAGTTCTTTTCTCCATCCACAGAAAAATATTAATTCTTATAAATCTCTTTTACTTATTTAAGATTCAATTAATATTCTAATGAATGATTTCTTGCTAATTCTTCTTTATTAATCAATTTACTAAATGGCTCTGTGTCTAATTTTTTTAAACAACATTAATATATTTTATCTTCAGACATTTCCAGTATAAGAAAAGCATCAGGAATTATTCCTTCTTTCTAAAATGCTAAACCTTAAACTCTAGTCTTAGGAAATCCTTCAAAAATATAGCTCTTTTTTTCATTTTCTAAATGTTACATTTGATTCAGCGCAATATTGATAACAATATCATCACTGACATATTAAAATTTATCCAAAGAATCTTATATTTGTTAACTCTATCTTATAATTAATTTATCATACTAATTCTGATTTCTTGCTTAATTCTTTTTCAATCAAGTCACCTATGGAAACACAATGGAAATTCATGTATTCTGCAAGTGTTAGAGATAACTCAAGTAATTTAGATCCTGGTGGTCCTATTACAAATATTTTTTTTGCTTTAATCAAAGTTGAAAAGTACTTTCTGGTTCTTGCAATTTATTGATCAAAAATTGTATTGGATCATTGGGCTTTTTAATAATAAGTGCTTTAAGTAAATCCTCAAAGATATTATACACTTTGTTTCTTTCTAGATATTTTTCAACTTGTTATTAGTATTGTAACTTATTTGCCTGATCCATAAGTTATACTTTTTAATTTAAGAATATATATTAATATGCATATAAATTTAGAATTCGTACATATTTAAATTGAATACCCACATTTACTATTCATCATCATTGAATAATATATATATAAAATATTATAATAAAGATTTGTAAATCAAATCAAATTAATTTTATTCATTCACCATCTGAACTTGAATCTGAATCTAAACCACTAATTATTAATTCATGATCTTATTTTTCAAGTATAGATGAACTACCATTCTCTCTATTTTCAATAGCTTAAACATTTCTTAATAATTTTTGTCTCAATTCTTCGTCTGCTTCATTATCACTATCCTCTCTTCTTGAATAATCTTGCTTCCTTTGATCATAATCATCATAAGGTGTACTTTATTTTGTTGAAACCTCATTTCTAGAACCATAATTATCTGAAATATGAAATTTATTTATGTGATTTCTCAAAGGTAATTTGCTAGTATATTGTTTACCACAATATTAACAATTTAACTTCTCCTTATTTGAATTAAACATTAAATCCGCGTTATTAGATCTCTTCTTCAAATTCAATAACGAACTATTGCTTTTATCATAACTATTATCTCCTTGCTTTATTTGATTAAAAAGTTTTGTGTATTTCTCTGTTAGTTGTTTTTATTCATTGAGGTAATTGCTAATGAAGTCTGCTAACTTATAGTTCATTAAATTAATATCAAATTCTATAAGGGTTTGTATAATAAGTTGAAGTACAATTATTTATATGATTTTAAAAATAAAGATGCTATTTTATCCTCTTAATAAATACTTCAATCACTAAAAAATATATACCCATCTGTCACCATTCTTATCAAATTGATCATAAAATTGTTCAATTTCTCAAATTACTTATCAAATATATTCCCTTTATTAATTCAAAGATTTCACAATTAAATTGCACTCTTACCCAATTATAGACTTTTTAAAACTTTTAAATAACTTTAACATTTGGAAAAACCTATCAAAATAAACTTCATTTTAAATCCAAAATTAATTATCCAAAATTCTAACAATTATAAAGATCAAAAAAAATAAAAATTTATTAAAAATAATTAATTATTCCAAATAAATCTTCTATCAAAGAAATTTATTTAACTTATCTCATCTCAGAACTCATTTTCTCTATATATTCAACAAAATATTCAATGATAATAATCAGATGAAAACTTAAACTTGGCTTTCTACCCATTTATAATATCTTTTTATTTTAATCTAATAATTTTACGATATAAATATAATTTTGGACTATTTGAAATTTTTATTTTGCCAATTTCTAATTCAATACATGATTAACCATTTCTATCATACATTATAATCCTTTTATGTTTTTCTATTTAAATATTTCAAAGTTATTATTTATCTTAAGTAAATAATTTCTATATTTAAATATCTTTTAAGATTTGACTAATTAAAATTTGGAAAATAATGGAATTATAAGATTTTAATTCTAAGAATTTCTTATATCAATAAATGAGGACCATTATTTGAAGAAATTCAACTTTACCATCTATATAAAAAAAGTTCTTTTAAATAATAAGTTACTAAAGATTTAAGAAATATTTATAATTTAATTATTTTTTAGCAATATTGAACTTAGGAGATTGGAGAAATGAATAGATTTTAATATATCATATTAAAATTGTTATCTTAAATATTTTATATAAAATTAATTCATGATCATTTATCACAATGCTTTTTGCTAAATAAATTTTTGTTTAAATTTCAATCTCATAATTTTTTTTTAGAAAATCCAAAAATTTTCACTAACAGATAAATCCATTTAAGTTCAACATTTAAATTAAATACTTATAAAAAAAACCAAGGATAAAATTCAAAGTTTTTATATGAAATAAAAGCCAATTAAATATATTCATATCTTGAAATTCTATTATTTTTATTTCATTTATATACCTCATCATAGATATTTTAAAAATTTAATTAACTCTATTTATCACTTTAGATATTTTTGTTTTGACATAATTCTTATTATTAAATGCACTATAAATAAGCTTTGATTATTACAGTAATGCTTATAGCTTAAAAATTTTTAGAACTGAATATTAATTGATGATAATAAATTTTATTTTTTAAAAAAATGTAAAACAAAGTAATAGGGATGACTAAGTCAGCAAACATTAGTCGTTAATCATCTATATCATCTCAAAAATCCAACTCAGAAAAAAAACAACAAATTCATTCTTATATATCATTATCTCCTCGTTTTGATCCAGAGAAAGGTTTGGCTTTTGAAAATTGCATTAAAGAAGTGAAAATAAAAAATGAAGAAACAGAAGAACCTTAATAACAGGCTTAAGGCTATTAAAAAATAGGAAAGATTAAAAAATAATCAAGCTTCACCTAAAAAATAATAAAGGATGAATAAATGAAAAAAAGCTAATTCAGTAGAATTTAAAGAGCAGATAGCTTAAATCCTTAGAAAAATTAATGAAATTAGATAATTTATTTTTCATTATTCAGAAATATAATATAAGGTCATTTTTGTTTAGACAAAATGATTTATAAGGTTATTTTTTATGATTAATAAATTATCTTGGTTTGTTGTATTAGTTGTAATAAAATCTAGAAATATTGAATCTTATGAAGTCTCAATAAAAAAAGTAAGAAGGATGAAGTTTTCTATTCTAAGATAAATATAAAAAAATAAAAATTAATCCAAAATTGTGTAATATAAGAAATTTTGCATAATAATAAAAAATGAGGTTTGAGATCAATAGAATTATACTCATCTAAAATTACAAATTGGAATTGAATATTAAATATATTTATATAGAATCTATTCTATTCTGTGTTAATAATATTTAAATATAAAAATGAGTATGTAATAAGAATATGATTACCTTTTCAAGATACTTTTGATTGGAAACTCAGCAGTTGGTAAATCATCATTATTACTTCGATTTGCTGACAATGTATTTAATGAAAGTTTTTTACCTACAATAGGTGTAGATTTCAAGATACGTACTTTTGATTTGAATGGAAAAACAGTGAAATTGTAGGTAGTTTTGATATAAAATGTAGATTTGGGACACAGCAGGATAAGAAAGGTTTAAAACAATAACAAATTCATATTATAAAGGAGCTCATGGAATAATATTAGTTTATGATGTGACTGATAAGTAATCATTTAAAGATGTTGAAAACTGGTTAGCTGGTAATGAATTTTTATAAATAAAATAGAAGTGGAAAAATATGCAAATGAGAATGTAGTAAGAGTACTAGTTGGAAATAAAGTTGATTTAGAGAGTAAAAGAGAAGTAACATTTGAAGAAGGCAAAGAACTTGCAGATTCTTTAAATATACGTTTTATAGGTAACAATTAATTTTTATATAAGAAACATCTGCAAAGAATTCATCAAATGTTGAAAAAGCATTCATAACTTTAGCAAATGAAATAAAAGCAAAAGTAGCTAAGAGTAGCGAAGCTGTACCAATAAAAACAGCACCTCGCATAACTTAAGATCAGTAATAGAATACTGTTAAAGATAATGGATGTTGTTGACACATTATAACCATATTATTATTAATTCAATTTGTGGGTTTATATTAGGATACAATTATTTAAGGAATTTAATTATTGGTATAATCTCTAGATCCAATTCTATCAACAATTTATGATGAAAATTTATCATCTTTAGGATACAAATTTCTTTGATTAATTATAAATGTTACTTCTCAACTTCATTGGTGATAATCACTTATTTCATTGTTGTATTATTTTAAATAGGTTAATATTAATAATTTTAAGATATGGGAGTTGGTGATGACAGATTTTATGAAGATTATTAATAAATTTTAGAAGTTGTATTCTATTAAATATAACTTTTTGTTTAGACAATTGGTTATTGTTATTATATTAAAGTCGTTGAAGTAGTAATTTGTTATTGTTATGAAGGTGATCTTTTAGATTATCTCAATTTAACTTCTTATAGAATATTTATTTGAGATTCATACTCAGTGATCTAAATTATTATTTGATTTTACTTTCTAAATCATGATATTAATTCTTGCATCTTAGTCTCTCTTAAGGTTTTATAATCTTTCTATTTCTAATTAAAGAGTTTCTATTTAGGTTTCTAACTCCCTTATTTTTAATTCTTTTGTTCTTACCTATTCCTTAATTACTAGAATTGAGTTTGTATTAATTTAACTTGTGTTTACTGAATTACAATTTAAGTTCATTTCTAATTCAAGAATTTTTTGGTTCTTTTATTAAATAATTTCAGTCAATTCTTTTATTTTTGGTTCATCAGTCATTACAACAGTTTTCTCTATTAAAGATTAAGTATTCCTAGTTTCATATTCTTTGGTTCTACTTTCAAATTCTCTAATTCTTGTTTCATAAATTGAAACTTTGCTTTGTTGTTCTTTAAGTTTTGTTTCCAATTCTCTTATTTTTTAATCATCATAAATATTTTTCACTTATTATTATTATTATTATTGAAATTGCAATTCTTTGATTCTCAACTCTAATTCTTAAATTTATCTATAATAATTATCTCTTTCTCTTCTTAACATCACATCTTATGAACTTTTTAAAGAAGTAGTTTATAATTCTCTAATCCTCATTTCTAATTCTTAAATTTATCTTTGTTAACTATCTCTTTCTCTTTTTAATTAAATGTACTAGATATCATTTTCAATGTTTATTGTTGTTACATTTGTAACTGATCTATTTCCTTATTTGAGCAAAGAATCATATTCTATTCTTAATTAATCATATTCTTTCAATCTGATTTCGGTTTAAAAGTAACGATTCTTCCATACTTCAAGTTCCTATTAAATGTTTTGTAATTCTTTAGATAAATTTTCAACACTTTTATATTTAGAGGAATTAGATTCTATAATATCTTTATNTTATAAATGTTACTTCTCAACTTCATTGGTGATAATCACTTATTTCATTGTTGTATTATTTTAAATAGGTTAATATTAATAATTTTAAGATATGGGAGTTGGTGATGACAGATTTTATGAAGATTATTAATAAATTTTAGAAGTTGTATTCTATTAAATATAACTTTTTGTTTAGACAATTGGTTATTGTTATTATATTAAAGTCGTTGAAGTAGTAATTTGTTATTGTTATGAAGGTGATCTTTTAGATTATCTCAATTTAACTTCTTATAGAATATTTATTTGAGATTCATACTCAGTGATCTAAATTATTATTTGATTTTACTTTCTAAATCATGATATTAATTCTTGCATCTTAGTCTCTCTTAAGGTTTTATAATCTTTCTATTTCTAATTAAAGAGTTTCTATTTAGGTTTCTAACTCCCTTATTTTTAATTCTTTTGTTCTTACCTATTCCTTAATTACTAGAATTGAGTTTGTATTAATTTAACTTGTGTTTACTGAATTACAATTTAAGTTCATTTCTAATTCAAGAATTTTTTGGTTCTTTTATTAAATAATTTCAGTCAATTCTTTTATTTTTGGTTCATCAGTCATTACAACAGTTTTCTCTATTAAAGATTAAGTATTCCTAGTTTCATATTCTTTGGTTCTACTTTCAAATTCTCTAATTCTTGTTTCATAAATTGAAACTTTGCTTTGTTGTTCTTTAAGTTTTGTTTCCAATTCTCTTATTTTTTAATCATCATAAATATTTTTCACTTATTATTATTATTATTATTGAAATTGCAATTCTTTGATTCTCAACTCTAATTCTTAAATTTATCTATAATAATTATCTCTTTCTCTTCTTAACATCACATCTTATGAACTTTTTAAAGAAGTAGTTTATAATTCTCTAATCCTCATTTCTAATTCTTAAATTTATCTTTGTTAACTATCTCTTTCTCTTTTTAATTAAATGTACTAGATATCATTTTCAATGTTTATTGTTGTTACATTTGTAACTGATCTATTTCCTTATTTGAGCAAAGAATCATATTCTATTCTTAATTAATCATATTCTTTCAATCTGATTTCGGTTTAAAAGTAACGATTCTTCCATACTTCAAGTTCCTATTAAATGTTTTGTAATTCTTTAGATAAATTTTCAACACTTTTATATTTAGAGGAATTAGATTCTATAATATCTTTATACCTAAGATAGTTTGCATTTTCTTCATTGTATTTAATTTATAATTCAGAATAAGTATCTTCAAGTTCTTTGATTCTTAACATAAATGTATCACAATCTTTTTCTAATTATTCTATTTAAATTTCTAATTTCCACTTTTCTTATTCTAATTCTTCAAATCTCTCTGAATTATAGACATTAGCAGATAATCGGAATCCTTCCATTTCCTTATTTTATTCATCAATTTTAGATTATGCAGCTTCTAATTATCTTTTGAGTTAATCTAATTGATTTTCATAATCAGCTATTTATTATTATTATTAAGTTAATTTAGATGATTATTATTAAGTCATTTACTAAGTCATTTATTAGGTCATAGTAAGACGAGTTCTTTACATTTCTTATTCTTTTTCAGCTAATAAACGATTTAATTATTCTATTCTTGCTAATAACTTAGCTTCATCAGATGTTTAATGTCGAGCCTCTAAAACTTTGCATCTATCTTTCCATTATCCTAATTCATGAATTAATGCTTCCATATCAGTTTCTAATGAAGTAAGCTAATTATTTTATGATAATTTAATCCTAATTTCTTAACTTTCTAAGATAACAGCATCATATTTATCTCTCCATCTTTATATTTCTAATCTCAATTCTTCAATAAGAGCTTCTTAATCATTTAATTATTATTATATTAAATCAACTGTTTAATATTTTTCAAATTTCTTTTTTGCTTCTAATTCAGATAATTTCAATTTATTTTAATAATATGCTAGCTATTTTAATTATTCTGCATTATCTTTATCTTTTGATTCGATTTCTGCATATTTACGCTTCCATTGATCTAATTCAAGCATCAATTTATCAAGTTCTGTTCTATTTTTAAATTCTGTTTCACTTCTTAACATCATTAATTCTTTTTAACATGCTTCTAATTCTTATTATGTAATTTACAATTCTTTTTTGAGAATTGTCACATCAGTACTTGAACTTGATTTATATGTGGCTACTTCTCTCTTTAATTATTCGATAACTTCTCTAAATATATTTGCATCTATGATACCTCATTCTTAAATTATCTTAAATTAATTCCTCATAATGATGTTATCTTTCAGCTTCTGATTTTTCATAAGTCTTAGAACGTTAAACAACCATGAAATCTTTTTCATCAACTTTTCCAAGTAACTAAGTTGAAGCCCAATTAACTTATTAAGTTGAAACTTAAATGTTATCCTCTTTATAACGAATTTATTGAGTTTCATTATATGTATTTTAAATGGAACCTGATTATCCAGATTATATTATTTAATATGTTCTGCTCTAATTCATTATTATTTAATTAATGAAGATACTATTTGTAATAATTGATGGTGTTGCTGATGTTGGTACACCAGAGACATAGTTTAAGACTCCTCTTTAATTAGCTGAAATTCCAACTTTAAATCAAATAGCTTCAACAGGATTAGCCGGTTTAATGGACCCAGTTGAACCAGGATTATCTTGTGGAAGTGATACTGCTCATATGAGTATTTTTGGTTATGATCCATTTACATAATACAGAGGAAGAGGAGCATTTGAAACTATGGGTTCTGGAATTGATATGCAAGTAGGAGATATTGCATTTAAATGTAATTTTGCATATATGCATAATGGAATTGTTAAATTAAGAAGAGTTGATAGAGAATTTCCTGAATGGGGACTTCCTTTAATTGATGCACTTAATACTTAACTTTAAACACCTATCTAAATATAAGCTAATCATGCTACAGAACATCGTATTGGATTAAAAGTTGTATCAAATCATTATTCTGGAGAATTAACAGATGAAATTATTGGTACTGATCCACTTAAAGATAATCTACCTTTACGATAAGCTAAACCTAAAGTATAATCTGATAAAGCAATCAGAACTGCAAATATTATTAATCAACTCTCTGATTCTATACATTAAATGTTATCTCAACATCCCATTAATCTATAAAGATAATCATAAGGATTACCAACTGCTAATGTAGTACTTTTAAGAGGATGTGGATAAAGAATTTAAGTTTAAAACTTCTAAGAAAAATATGGGTTGAAAGGAGCTGTCATAGCTCCTACTGCAATTATCTAAGGATTAGGGAAAACTATTGGTTTAGAATGGCATCATGTTGAAGGAGCTACTGGAGATTATAATAGTAATTTCATTAACAAAGGAAAAAAAGCTATTGAATTGTTATAAAATCAGTATGACTTTGTTTTCTTACATATTAAAGCTGTTGATGATGCTGGTCATGATAAAAGCAAAGATCTTAAAATTAAATATATATAGAAAGTTGATCAAATGATGCATTACATTGTTACTAACATTTAACTTTAAGATCTTGTTATAGCTGTTACTGGAGATCATACAACTCCATATGCTTATGTAGATCATACATTTCAAAGTGTTCCATTTATAATAAGTAAATTGAGTTTACTTAATGGATAAAAGAATGATATTTAATTTAATGAAATTTCATGTCTGAAAGGAGCTTTAGGTAGATTTTGCGGTAAATAAGTGATGTAGATTATTAAATAGTATAGTTCATGATTATATTTTATTTTAAATTATATTTCTTTTATGAGTTTATTTGACGAACTCAACAATCTTTTAGATTCAGATAAATATACAATGGCAAAAGAGTAAAATGTTTTACATCTTTAACTAATATGATCCAACGCTTGGATAATAAAGAGAAAACTTTAGACTCAATGAATTATATGAAAGCATATTGATTAAGAAAGAAAAATTGAAATTGCTTAGAGTTTATAAAGAATAAGGTGAATAGTATGAATGATATGATGATTATATAATGGATAATTGGAGAGCAAGAGAGAAAATATAAAGAGCTTTTATAGAAATACAGTGATGATCGAAAGAAAAAGTCTTGAAAGGTTTTAAATATAATAGATGAAATTCATTCTAGATATACTAGAAATTGGATCCTCCTATTTTAAAAATCAAAGAATTATAACTTTGTAAAAAATGAAATAAATTTATTTTAGTTCTTGAAGAATTATTAGAATATGATCGTATTATTTCTGAATCAGTTATAGTAGTTAAGCATAAGGTTGATGAAAAATGTGCATAAATATTTAGAAACTTTCTTAAAATTTAGTCAAAATGTGAAAATCTATTTAAATGAATTAATTTCATAATTTTATAATAACTAATTTTTTACTTGAAAAAAATGGACGAAGAAAAAGGAGGTTTTTTTGAATAATTAAGATAACTGTATTAGAATAGAGAAAAAATAGAATCAAAAATAGTGGGATTTCATATGCAAAAACAATTTAAGATTTCTCATTTATTTGGTAACGAAGAACAAATAAATTGTATGGATTTAATAGACATATCAGAGAATGAATCTTTTATTATAGTATGTTCTGATGCAAAAATAAAATTATATTCACACACAACAAAACTTGATAAATTATTTGAGTTCATGATTCAATTTGAAGTAAATGAACATCTTGATTATGATGGACTAAAAAATGAGAAATAAAAAAAGTTTCTAAGACATTCTAAGTAATTAACAACAGGGCCTGTAAAAGAACTAATTATGTTTTGTCATTTTGCATATATTTATGATTAGTTATATGTATATGCAGGTGGAGATTTAGGATATGTTTATTAAATAGAAATAAAAGAGAATCCTGAATATTTTTTACTTGAAGGACATCATAATGTTATAACAGGATTAAGTAGTAATAGTAAAGGTGCATTTTCATCATCTAAGGATGGTTCAATAATTTAATGGGATTCATGCAATAGATAAATAGTATAAGTATTTAGAGATGGAGATACACCAGAAGCAGAAGTATTATGTGTATCAGCAAATTAAGATTATGTGATAGGAGGATATTCTGATGGAAAATTGAAATTATGGGTAATTTAAGATTATAAAAATGATAGTTGGACTTATAAAATTAATAAATAACCTACTATTATATTTTAGGGTCCTCTTTAAGACATTTATCCTCATGTAACTTAAATCTTTTTATTAAAATAAACTATTGTAACCAAACATCTAAATGGTATTATAAATTATTTTGTATTTGATTTGTAAGGTAAAACAATATCACTTAGAGATTGGGAAATGTCTAATGAAAATTATTGGGAGAACATAGATGTGAAATTCCCTTATCTTATATATACTTGTTTTAATCGTATGCAAGTAATAACTCTTAAAAAAAATAAATTGACTTATGAAGCTGAATTAGATGTTTTGCCATCTAGCAAATTAACAATATCTAAAATATCTAATAGATTGATTTTAATTGGAAGAATGAATTAATATACGATTATATAATAATGATAAATCTTAATATATATATTCTAATCAATAATATAGTATTTAATTTAATATAATAATTAATAATTAATTCAGTGATAATTTAAATTATATTGAAATAAAATTATTATAAAAATGGAAATAATAAATTTGATGATTAACTATATGAAAAATGCGTCATTTATAATAAAATAATAGTATAATGCGCATGAAAATAGACATTAATTATCAAAATTCTTTAATTTATGATCTAATATATTAAATATCTAGAAAATGCACTCTCAACATGTTAAATTAAGTGATGATCCAGAATTATCTGCGATTTGTTCAGCTCTTCTTTTAGCTTTCATAGAGAATTCTCGTGTTTTAAGATATTGTTCTGGAGGAGGAGATTATACAAATACATAAAATGATTTTGGAGACCATTAATTAGAAATGGATGTATAATGTGAATTAAATGTTAATACAGAATTAAAGAGAACAGGATTCGTTAGTCATACAGCAAGTGAAGAAACACCAGAAGTATATATTCTATTTTTATATATTTTTTAGATGAAGCTTTTGAGTGAAGGTGGAAAATATATTGTTACATTTGATCCATTAGATGGTAGTTCAATCATTGGAACTAACTTTGCAGTAGGAACAATTGTTGCAATATGGAAATCAGATGAAAATTTATTAATAGGAAAAAGAGGAAGAGATATGGTTTCAGCTTGTTGTTGTCTCTATGGTAGTAGAACTAATGTTATATTCTGGAATGAAAAAGAATAAAAAGTTTAAGAATATACATTATTTGGTATTAACATATTTTTATTTTTAGATGGTGATAAATAAGGTCATTGGGAATTAACTAAAGATAATATTAAGATTAAACCAAAAGGCAAATTGTTTAGTCCTGGAAATACTAGATGCATTATAGATCATATTCCTTATAGAGAGGTTGTTGATTATTGGATTCATAATGGTTATACACTTAGATATTCTGGTGGCATGGCTCCAGATATTTGTTAAATCTTTTTAAAAGAAGTTGGTGTCTTTTCCTGTTTTGGAGATGCCAAAAATCCATCTAAATTAAGATATCTCTATGAATGTGCTCCATTATCCTTCTTAATCGAGAAGGCAGAAGGAAAATCATTTAATGGCAAACATTCAGTTCTAGATACTCAAATAACAGGTTATTAATAAAAAAGCGAAATTATTGTTGGTAGTGCAGAAGAAATTGAATTTTTCAAGTCTATCTGGAAAAAACATGGCATATTAAAAGAATGATGTAATATATAAATTATTATAAAATTTTAATATTAATTTATAATTATCTGTGTTTTCATAATTTATTTTATTTATTAATTAGATTCCATAGTTTTGTTACCCTTCAAATTATAATAAATAACCTTGATTAATTTTTATATTA